TAGATCAAAATTTCTTAAACTTTAGGATACAAAGAACACATGCAAATATAGACACAAGTGGGGACATAATAAATAATTGTTTTATGAGTGAATGTCTACAAATTATTTTTAAAATTTTTTAACATTTATTCATTTTTGAGAGCATGAGTGGGAGAGGGGCAGAGAGAGAGGGAAACATAAAATCTTAGGCTCCAGTCTCTGAGCTGTCAGCACAGAGCTCGATAAGGGGCTTGAACTCACAGACTGTGAGATCATGACCTGAGCTAAAGTCGGATGCTTAACTGACTGAGCCACCCAGGTAATCCGTGAATGTCTGCAAGTTATGATTAAAGGTTCAGCTACATAAAAAGGTGACACATATCTGCTTCACTTCACCATATCCAGGAAACTTAAAAGGAAATTGAACTTGTTGAGACCAAGCCCATTCTGGATAACTTTGACAGATTTGTAATGCCCGATCCAAAGTGGATCCCTGATTATTCTATAAATACATCATCTTTCTCAATTCTTCTACCTTTGATATTTTAGTCTGAATGACTCAGATGCTGAGGTTGAACTGTGGGAAATGGCAGCATTCCTGTGCTCGAGTGAAAATACATGTGAGAAAGGAAGGAAAATATATTCTGAGGCCTGGACAATCTCTCTAGGTGGAAGGCGGATTGCCCTCTGGCAGTACACATTTCTAGCGTGGCAGTTTATAGGCGATTTGCTCTAAGAGATGTCCAGGTCTGAGGACAGAGAAGAAGTTAGGAGCTACAGTGCATTAGTGATGATCATTTTCCCTGGCACTGCTAGGAAAGTTATGTAAGAAGAGCTTCCATGCCTCCTGCACTGTAATTTCTTTGAGTTACTCCAATTTTTCAATCCAATCTGATAAAACATAGAGTCCTGGGGAATAGAATAGTGAGGCACTAAAGGGATATTCATACCTATAAAAACAACATAAGAAAATTCACATTCTGCCAAACAAGTCCATCGACCAGGAAATTACAGCAGAGTGGAGAGTTGTAATCCACCGTGGTGTTAGGAATTGTAGCTAGGAGTATGTTATGAGGTGGATGGCTCAGATACGGACAGGAGACAATTTTTTTTTCCCCAAAACATATTAGGAAGGGCAAATATTGAAAACAGTAGAACTAACAAGTGTTAAAAACAGACTACATTCGGGGCACCTGTGTGGCTCAGTTGGTTAAGCGTCCGACTTCAGCTCAGCTCACCATCTCACAGTTTGTGAGTTTGAGCCCTGTGTGGGACTCTGTGCTGATAGCTCAGAGCCTGAAGCCTGCTTCAGATTCTGTATCTCTCCCTCACTCTGCCCCTCCCCTGCTCATGCTGTGTCTCTCTCTGTCTCTCAATAGTAAATAAACATTTAAAATTTTTTTTAAAAAAACAGACTATGTCATAAGGCTTTATACCCTGTATGTTGATATTTGAATCAAAGGATGTATTGGGATATATGGACACTTTAATTAGTGAAGGTATTACAATGTATTCATTTCAAAAATGTCATATTTTTTAGAATATCTTGTTTGGATAGAATTATGAAAGTATCGTAAGATAGTAACTAATAGAGATGATAAGGAAGTATATAACGTCTTTTTTTCTCTGGTTAAAATACAAAATCATTAAAGAGCAAATTAAAGGGACAGGATTTTCATTAAAAATGTTCAGCATGATAAATATTTGTCTTTCTCCCATTTATTTAGATAGTTATTTAGATAATTAAGGATTTGTTAGAGAATTTTTTTTTCTCATTATTGAAAATCACTGTGACACTCCATATCTGTGTATAGATTTAGGCTGATGATTCTCTGAAAGAAATCTAAATATACAAGGTGCCCACAGACTTGTAATAAAAATATACAAGATGAGTAGATTCATCTTAGTTTTACATTTCTTAGGTAGTATAGACACATTTATGCTCCTTGGCTCATAGTTCATTTTAATTTCCATACTAGTTTTGTGTTTAAAACTTGTTCCTTTAATCCTTGTTCATCTTGTTCATTGATTCAGCACCATGTGTAGTGCTTGGTTCCGATATACAGACGAATCATGTTTCACTACCTGAACATTTTGCAGGAAATCAAAGCCCCCATAATTATACAGGGAAGCAAATTAACAGACTAATAGACTTTCTGGATAAGCATATTTAAGTTGGGGTCTATGTGACCTTTGACATTTTAATCCTTTCATTTTTCACACACTTTTGATATAGTTCAAGAATAAATTGAAGATGGGTGCCTGGGTGGCTTAGTCGGTTAAGCATCCAACTTTCGCTTGGGTCATGATCTAGCGGTTCGTCGGTTCGAGCCCCGCTTCAGGCTCTGTGCTTACTGTGTCTGAGTCTGTCACTCCCTCTCTCTCTGACCCTCCCCTGCTCACGCTGTCTCTCTCTCTCTCCCTCCTAGAAATAAATTTAAAAAATTAAAAAAAAAGAATAAATTGAAGATAAAATATAGAACAGAATCTTAAAAATCTCATTAGTTATATTTAAAGGACAGGTGGAGGACTGTAAAATTTCCAACATAGTTTTTCAGACTACACATTGAGTTAAATTTCACATTATTTATCTTTTTTTGGCCAATTAACATGAAATTTTGGTGGTATTAACCCTAAAGACTTTAGAGTTGTTTCCTAAATTTCTTCCCCTATATATGTTTCCATTTCTCAGAATTCTGTTGACTACCAGCATTTCCTTTTGTTTTTCATGTATGATGCCATTTTAAGATTCAAGACATCTGAAGTCAAATCCTAAATGACTCCTGTCATCCTCAAAGAAGAAAGTTAAAACATTGAATTAAGGCTTCAACTTTATTTATTTATTCATTTATTCATTTATTCATTTATTTATTTATAGACTGTGAGTGGGGGTGGGGTGGGGGGGGGGGGAAAGAGACGGAAGGAGAAGATCTTAAGGAAGTTCCACGTGCGAAGCTCATCACGGAGCTTGATTCCAAGAACCTGGGATCATGACCTGAGCGAAAATCAGTAGTCAGACCCACTCAACTGACTGAGCCACTCAGTCACCCCAAGGCTTAAACTTTTGATTTGAAGTACTTGTACAAAAAAAGTTAGTATAACAACTACTCAAGCTCCCCTCTAACAGCATGTATCCATCGATAATAAAGTCAGGAGAAAATGGTGATTCAGTTATAACAGCTGTTAAAATATAAGCATTAGAAAAAAAACTTTCTTTTAATTTTTGTATTAACATAACTACCACTTGGAAGTAATTCCACTACTTTTGCTTTTATGTGCATGAAAATCAAATCAACAACCAAAATAGTTAATATGTAAAGTGAGTTTAATTTTAAAATTATGGATTTACTTAGGATTTTTTGCATGTGTAGCTTTATCTCTTAGGGCCTCTCTTTTAATAGTATAAAGAATAAGAAATTTATGAAATTTCAATTATTTAATATTCACAAATATTTTTGGTGCCATTACTATTCAAGCCTATTACTGTTCATCTCATTGTTTAACTCAAATCCTTTAAGTAATATAAAAAGTTTTTAGAAAATTATGATGTTTGACTTTTTAAAAAGCTATGATTATGATTATGATTATGATGTTTTCTCAGGTGCTTGCAATGTCTATAAAGGGAAAATATAGTCATAATTTTCTACTCTTTATCTAATTTCTGTATTTTGCCAATTCTAGATGCTTTTTATCAATGTAGAGGAAATTGATATAATAAAATGTTAGTATTTGAAGAGAATTCAAAATATTTCAGTTTGATGGTCTTTTTCATAGATTAGAAAATTGAGACACAGAGACAGAAAGTGATTTGACAAGTTTACACAGTAAATTAGAGGGAAATTGATAACTCATACAGAAATGTGAAAACTTAATTTGACTTGGGAATGGAAGGATTAAAATAATAAATTATTAAATAAACTCATCCTATTTTTGGAATACATTTCATACATTTTATGTCACTTTATGTTCTTTACAAGTACTCAACTTAATTAATTTTCACTTAAGAAAAAGTTATCATTATTTAATTTATGGAGTGGAGAACTCAAGTGCAAATAGATTTAGATACATTTCCGAGTATATATTGCAGACCCAGGCTTTGAAATCAGTTTCGATTTCACAGACTAATCTCTTTAAAATGACTTTCTGTACATCAAGATTTCTGTACATAGAACTTCTACAACTGTAGTAAATGTGATCATTCTACAGTTTTGTTTTCTCTCTGTAATCTGCGCCACACCTCTATTTTAACATTTATTTTCTTCAATCTGTAACCTTCATATCCTTCTTCTTTCCATTATTTCTACAACTTTTCTTCCTTTCCAAGTCATGGCTATTCCTAGATCATTAAATCTTGGAATTGGATGGGACCTTGGGGGTCTGCTCTAACTCTTTCATGTTACATATGAGGAAATTGAAACCCAGATACTTAAAATTGCTTGCCTTAGGCCCTACAGCTAGTAGATGGTAGAACTAAAAATGAAAGTATATCTTCTAAAAGTTCAATTCTCCTGACAATACACTTCTTTTCTTTCATATAGTGTTTACTCTTCAGTGGTGGAAGCATGTCAGTCTAAAATTGTTTTAAAAGGATGCCTTCCAACTTGATTTTAGGAATAATTTGGAACAATTTGGTTTCTTGCTTTGTTTTGTTTGTTTCCTTTCAAGAAAAGGTAATCATTAACAAACTTCAAACTACAAGCAGTAAGAGTGAACACCGACCTCAAAATGTTGGAGAATTATAAGATATTGTTGCTCTCTTATAAATAAAAATCACAATTACACTATCATTTAAGCCAGGGCCATAAATGATAGCTGGTATATAAACAGTTTAAAATCTTAATCTCAGGGTTGTGAGTTAGACTCTCACCTTGGGTACAGAGAGTGCTGAAAGAAAGAAAGAAGGAAGGAAGGAAGGAAGGAAGGAAGGAAGGAAGGAAGGAAGGAAGGAAGGAAGGAAAAAACTTAAAATTAAAATCTTAGAGATTTAATGCAATAAATCTTTATTTCTTATTCAAGTCAGAAGCAGATGACAGTGGATAACTGCACTGGAGAGATCTCTTCAGTGACAACTGAGGAAAAGAGACTTCTTAAATCTTGCTGCTCGACCCTCTTCTAGGGACCCCAAAGAGTCTTCTTCTAGAGCTTTTCCATTCTTCCAGCTAGTGTTCAAAGACAGAGTTGTGGGAGATTCTATAAACTGTTTTATAAAAAGGCTTGGACTCACACACAACATTTCTAGCCTTACATTTGACCAGAATCCAGTTCATGACCCCAGCATAATTATAAGCAAGACTGAGAAAGATAATCTTTCTTTGTGTCTAGAATAAGGACACTAAATGGGTAAACAGCTTGTTAGTATCTGTCTCAAATTAAGTTCTGCTATAGTCTACGCCAAATGGAATCATGCTCTGGTCATTAAGACTATCCTTTTTATGTATCAAAAGGAGCAAAACAAAATGGAATTTAAAAAAAATAAATTGTATAAAGCTTGTAAGTAAAGTTTATCCAAATGCGTATTAGTCTTTGGTATATAAAAGTGCACACAATTTTTTCAGTTATACATTTCTAAATGGTTTTACCAGGCAGGTCAGAATTGCCATTCATATTTCAAACTTTTTATTTTAATATTTATGTTGCTTCAGTGATCATCCTTGGTATGTTTTACCAAATATGGCTGTGACTAGAATTTGGGATGAAAAGGATCATACACCTTTCACCTCTTCCTGAATGCATGCTTGATCCCTATTTATTTCTGATATTCATAAAGTTTAAATGTGTCTTGACCATCTGTTTGCCTCCAGAAGAATTCACCAAATGAAAGTAGACATTATATTTGTTCTCTAAACATTCTCCTAATTAAAGCCAATTCTTGGCAAATTGCAGATTTTTGATAATATGTTGCTATATCAAACTGCTAAATAAATTTTATACTTCATTTATATACTGTATTTGGTCAATTATTGTAATATATACTATAATTTATGGTGGTGAAATATCAAAATCATGGAAACAATACAATGCTACAAATCTATTAGAATGTCTGCCTAGCTTATAATGTATCTTTTTTCTCCTGGAAAATGACTATTACTCAAAGGTCCGAACCCCCAAGACTCATGTTTCATTATATAAACTTATCCTATGACTACAGTTGGCTTCGTAATGAAAGCAAGTTGACATAAGTTAAGCCAATCAGAATTTATTTCCTGAAAATGTGAGGTGATTCATGGACTTATTTTTGATTTTGTTTTTTTATTTTGTTTTTGTTCTGTGTGTTTGTAAATGTAAAAACTTTGACATATAAACTATGAAAATTTGAACTATCTGTATTCTGCCTTGAGGGTTTTACTCAGAAATGTGTCAACAGAAAGAAAAGGAAATGAAGCCGATATACAGAGGACACAAAATATGCAAAGATCTCTGGTTGTTTTATCCAATAACTTAATCTAACTTCTGTCTAAAACTAAGATCTGTAATATTTTCCTGTGGATTAATTACCTTCTATTCGTTTTTCAAAGACAGTCAAGTGGGTTTCTTTACTTAAAACCAAAAGAGATTCAACTATAACAAATTCTACGCCAAAATATCTATCAGATACAGGCAAGTTTAGCACATGAGTAATATGCCTATTTCACGGTAACATGCATATTATTGTATTTGACTTTGACCAACAAGTATAAAAAAGGGGATTAGACCTTATAAGTAGAACAATATAAGCAGGAACAATCTTACTTTTTGACTTTCTATGCCAATGTTAATTAAAATTCTAAAAGGTGGAATACATGTTGAATTTACAAACAGTGATAGTTCAAACATCATCAGCATTGAAGTGACCTGCTTAAAAATCTATTTAAAATCAGTCTATTTTCTGAATGATTTCCACATATTTACTGGCCTGGGTTCCTACTGAGAATAGAGCTTTTATTTAGGAAGAAATATAGTGCCCAGAAGGCTTTAAGTTGTTAAAGAATTGGCTATAGAAGTCATTAGAGGAAAACCTATTTTAGTGTATCCTGAGTAGATCATACACTAATAAAGAAGCCTGGTCTCAAGTACCAGAGTGAAATTTTCTTTTTGTTATGAGCCATAATTGGTGAATATGTTAATATCTGTGACTCTCAAGAAAAGATATTATAACTTGTTGTTGCCATCACAACATGTATGTAATGGAGACAAATTCTTTACTCACTGGCAGGTTATGACATTTGAGGGTCATGATTTGTAGGAAAGAAATAGAATATTGTTTGTTAGAAATGCACACATTCCTCTAGCTAGCAGGGTCATAGCCAAAAATCTTCCTAAGGACAAAATAATAGCAGCCTATTTATTTAATGAGGTGATTTTCTGTAAAGTGGACCTCTATGCTCTAGGTGGCACACAAAATACAATTAATTCCTAGATTTGAAACAAACACTATTGAGGTGCCTGTGTGGCTGAGTCAGTTAAGCGTCTGACTTTGGCTCAAGTCATGATATCAAGATTTGTGGGTTGGAGCCCTGCATCAGGCTCTGTGCTGACAACTCAGAGCCTGGAGCCTGCTTTGCATTCTGTGTCTCCCTCTCCCTCTCTCCCTCCCCTGCTCATGGTCTGTCTCTCTGTCTCTCAAAAATAACTAAACATTAAAAATAAAAAAACATGCACACAAACAAACACTATCTAGGATAAATTCTGGCAAAGGAATGCTGCTGTCTGGGATGCCTGGGTGACTCAGTTGGCTAAGCCTCTGACTTTTTATTTCGGCTCATGTCATGAACGCACGGTTTGTAGGACCAAGCCCCACTTTGGGTGCTGTGCTGACAGCATAGAACCTGCTTGTGATTCTCTTACTCCCTCCCTCTCTTCATCTCTCTCAACATAAATGAATAAACTTAAAAAAAATATGCTGCAATTATTTCTGGATGACATAGTGGATTTATTTTTTCTTAGAGAAGGTGAGTTGGAGCGGGGCAGAGGGAGACAGAGAGAAAGTCTTAAGCAGGCTCCACACCTGCTGTAGGGTTCCATCTCATGACCGTGAGATCATGACCTGAGCCGAAATCAAGAGTCCATCGCTTGTTGCTTAACCAACTGAGCCACCCCAGGGGCCCTGAAAAGTGTATTTTTATAAATGGAAAATCATTAACAAAGTAAATAAATTTAAAGGAAACAATTATTTATTTTTCCAAATTAATAATGCTTTAGATATGCACACTTTTTCTCCTTACCATTTTTTCCCTAAATAAAGTTCCATGTCTCCTTGTATCCATTTCATTTAAACATTTTACTGGCTATCATTTGTAACTTGTTTCTAGAGGCAATAAAAAATATCAGCAGGTTGAATAATTGTTTAGATGGTTTAGATGATTTATTATAGATTCTTTTAATAAACCTGTATTCTTAGCTTTCTCTTTCCCCCTCTTTTCCCCTTGTCTTTCCTGTGTATATCATTGATAATTTGTCCTATGTCAAAGCAAGGGATTTTGATTTTTTTTATTTAATATTGAGGAAAGCATGGGAGGCTACAGTTTCCAAGTTTTATTTTTTCCTAAATTGGAGCTTCTCATTGCTGATATAAGCCAAATTAAAAAAAAAACAAAACAAAACAAAAAACAAAAAAACAAAAAAACTCTACATCCCTGGGGCTAGCCCAGAAAGCTGCCTCAAAAATGTTAAATTATGATTGCATCTGTTCCATTCATTACATTGGGAGTTATGATATTCAAAGTAAGCAGGTACAAATGAAACGATATTTAATTTTAGTGTTTATTTTTCAGTGAATCCAGACATACCCACAGGTCTGTGGTTTGCCAGTCCTCAGTTGAGAATTCCCTGTAAAAGTGAACTGCAAGTATAAGATTAGGCTGTATCCCCTGAAGGATTTTGTTATCCAGGAAAGCAGAGATTATGCTACCTTGGAAACATCAAGCTCAGAGTAAAGGTGAGAATAAAACTCTAAGGAAGAATGTAATAGAAGTTCTATGTACATGTACATATGTGCATCTTTCCAGAACTTGCTCCTTACTCACTTGGCATAACTAACTAAAAATTAGAAAACTTACAAACCCTGTGTTAAAGAGCCAACTTGAGCCAATTCATGAGTTCATTCTCATTAATTCTACAAGGGACAGTTTTCTACATGAGATAGGCCTATCCTTGTGGCTGTTACTTTATTTCTTTACATTTTTTAATGTTTGTTTATTTTTGAGAGAAACAATATGAGCATGAGATGGGCAGAGAGAGAGGGAGACACAGAGTCCAAAGCAGACTCCAGGCTCCCAGCTATCAGCACAGAGCCCGATGGGGGGCTCAGACCCACAAACCATGAGATCATGACCTGAACCAAAGTCAGATGCTTAACTAACTGACTAAGCCACCCAGGCACCCCTATCTTATTATTTTTAAGGTTAAAGCAAAATACATTTGGAAAATATCATGTAGTAATATTGAGTGGCTCATATTTCATGTCATAATGGAATGAAAAGGTCTAGTAATCACAAACATATCTGGAAACTTATTCCTGAATGGTTTTGGGTTTTTTTCCCCCAATTTGTTTAATGTTTATTTATTTTTAAAAGAAGACAGAGATAGAGTGTGAATGGAGGAGAGACAGAGAGAGGGAGACACAGAATCTGAAGCAGGCTTCAGGCTCTGAGCTGGCAGCACAGAGCCCAATGTGGGGCTGGACCTCGGGATCTGTGAGATGAGACCTGAGCTGAAGTTGGAAGCCCAACAGACTGAGCTACCCCAGCCGCCTCCCTGAGTGGTTTTCTTAAGAAAGGGACCACTTTACACTTTCTTTAGGAAAAGACCACCTGCCTGGTAGTCCAAAGGCCTTTTTAATGTTTTTTTAAAATGTTTATTTATTTATTTTGAGAGGGAGAAAGAGTGAAAGAGTGAGAGAGAGAGAGAGAGAGAGAGAGAGAGAGAACACATGTGCGTGAGCAGGGGAAGAGCAGAGGAAGAGAGAATTCCAAGAAGGCTCTGCGCTGTCATTGTCTCTGAGCTGTGAGATAATGACCTGAGCAGAAATCAAGAGTAGGATGCTTAAGTGACTGAGGTACCAGGGGCTTCTAAAAGCTTCTATCATGAATTTAGCTTAGCCATTGTATTTTTGACCCAGATTGAGCTATTTTGGCATCATCTTTCTCCTCTGATAAGTGAAGAAACTGATCTGAGCAGTTCCGTGGATATTAGTATGTTTAGGTATTATTATTTTTAAAATTTGTCAAATTTCTGCATGTAAGAGTATAAAAAATCTACAAACCTTTTTTTTTTTTTTTACCAGTAAACAGAAGTCCCTTTTTGCCTTTCTTCAGAGGTTATCATTTCCATTTTCTTTAAGTTATTCCTGTATTTGTCTCTGTATCTTGGAATAATGTACTTATATTTTTTTAAAGAAGGAACATAGACAGTACTCTTACCAATAGATTATTGACTCTTCACTGTGAAAAAGTGAGATTCGTTATCTTGATACCTTCTCACACTACATTGACAATTGGACATGAAATATACTGTCCTCTGAGAAACATTTTTTTCTTAAGAAAATAATCTTTTTGTCCCATTTGTTAAGTTTTCTGTTAACAAATCTTCTGTTAACTTATCCCTAATTTATCATCAAATGCTCTCAGATATATGTATCTGTGTGTGTGTGTGTACACGCATGCACGCACATGTGCCTGCATGTGGTGCTTGTGTGCGTGTGTGTGTGTGTGTGTCACCCTTACAAACAAGTCTGTCCCAAAAGCCTTCCAAACTTACAAGAGTACCTTGTTTTGTCACCAGCCCTGTGACACATCTATGGTCCAGAGGCTACCACTGCCATCATTTCAATAATTCCACTCACATATTTCTTTTGTTTGAAGTCCTTTTTACTGGATCCCACATCTCTTGCCTGATTCCCTAATGTGGTTGAACACTTTGTCTAGTAATTTTCTGAGAGTGGGTGCTTGGAGTTAAATTCTTGGAGACATTAAGTATATGAAATTATCTTTATTTTACCCTTACACTTAAGTGCTCTTTTGATGGCATGTGAAATTCATGATGGATAATAGTTTTTCTTGATGTGTGAGATGTTGCTGCTCTGTCTGCTGACTTCCAGGATCACTTGATATTTTGATATTTTATATGAACCCCCCCCCTCTTTCTCATTATACCCTTGGTCCTAAATATATTTAGGATGTTCTTTTCTACCCAGTTTCTTATATTTCTGTTTTCATTCATTCATTTCTTATATTTCTGATTTCAATCAGAAATCAAGAGTAGGATGCTTAAGTGACTGAGCTACCCAGTTTTTTACCAAAAACTCAGGTTCTTAAGTTCTGTAAAATTGTTTTGCATTATTTCTTAATTTCCTCCAGTTCATTTTCTTTGTTCTTTCTTTATAGAAATCTTATTAGGTAATGGAGCTCTTAGACTGATGCACCAATTTCCATCAATTTTCTTATCTTTTCATTCCTATTTTTCATATATTTCTCTTTTGCTTGCCTTTTAGGGAGATGTCTTCACTTGGATCTTCAAATTTTTTATAGAGTTTTTCTTTCTTTCTTTATTTCTGAGAGAGCAAGAGGGGAGGGGCAGAGAGAGAGGGAGACACAGAATCCAAAGCAGGTTCCAGTCTTTGAGCTGTCAGCACAGAGCCTGACACGGGGCTCGAACCCACGAACGATGAGATCATGACCTGAGCCAAAGTTGGATGCTTAACCGACTGAGCCACCCAGGTGCCCCTAGAGTTTTTTATTATCAGCGCCATGTTTGTGTTCTTTGAATAATCTTATTTCATAGAGGATCCTGTTTTATGTTCCTTGATGCTATTAGATTTCTTTTATTTCTGGACATATTAATATGTATTTTCGAAGCTTTTCTCGTTTGGTCATTGTTTCAAAGTGTCTTCCTGCTGCTTATTTGTTTTGCTTTGGTCTTTTTCATATTATAGAACTTTCTCAAATATTTTGAGCTCCTTGTCTGTATACACATGTTAGTGAAGCTGAAAGCTGATTGGAAGTTATAAATATGCAGAGGGCTGATGGCTGGCTTCACTCAAGTGTAGTCTGGCAGAGCTGATCCTGAGAAACTCCCATGTCAGTATAAGGAGAGAAATGTACAGGAATTCATAAGTGTGTGGTTTGGTGAATTTTTACAAAGATCACATAGCCAAGCAACCACTGTCTAGTACAAGTAGTAGAATATTTCTGACACCTGAGACACCCTACATCACTACTATGCTCTTTCATCATTCCTTGCTCCTCCACAATGATTTCTAATCCTAAAAAAACTTTCAGTTACAGTTTTAAATATATTTTGTAACATAATTTTTATCATTGAATGCATAAAAACTGAATTAGTAATGACACTAGTTATGTCATATAGCCTCTGTCACATGTCAGGGCATGAATGTTAATGAAAATAATGCAACTAAAATTTTATTTAAAAACTATAGTATCATATGCATTTTAAGTGATTTCGTATTAGGCATTAACGGCAATACTGATAATTCCATAACTTTTCTTCCTAGAAATAAGTTGATAGCAATTTGGAACACTTGTCTATGCTTTGTATTTTAGAAATGTTCTGAAAAATTCTCTTAACTAACAGAACATATTTTTTATTTGACACTACAATTTATCCCAACTTTAAGCAGTATATAAGGTTGCACTATCAGAATTGCATTCAATTTCATTTAATCTTTTAAGCTTCACCTTATTTATTATTCAAAATAAACCTTATAATTGGAGCACTTGGGTGGCTCAGTCAGTTAAGTCTGACTTCGGCTCAGGTCATGATCTCATGGTTCATGGTTTAAGCCCCGCATCAGGCTCTGTGCTGACAGCTCAGAGCCTGGAGCCGCTTCAGATTCTGTGTCTCCCCCTCTCTCTGCCCCTACCCCTCTCGCTCTGTCTCTGTATCTCAAAAATGAATAAACATTCAAAAAAAACTTAAAAAAGGGGTGCCTGGTTGGCTCAGTCAGTTAAGTGTCTGACTTCGGCTCAGGTCATGATCTCATGGTTCTTGGGTTCGAGCCCCACGTCGGGCTCTGTGCTGACAGCTAGCTCAGAGCCTGGAGGCTGCTTCAGATTCTGTGTCTCCCCCCCCCCCTGACCCTCCCCTGCTCATGCTGCCTCTCTCTCTCTCTCCCTTTCTCTCTCTTTCAGAGATAAATAAAACATTAAAAAATAAAAATAAAAAAATAAACCTTATAAAATAGTAAATTCCTTTGAAAATTTAAGCCTATTAAGTTTAACTCAAAATTTGAAAAAGTTAATGAGGTGGAGCAAAGAACTACAAATCATTGTGTACTTTATACAAGGTAGG